GCACAGGTGCACTCTCTATTCCCTCACTCTCATAGTCCGACGGGATTGTAAATCGACACGACCGGAGAGAGATCAGGCGCAGGACCAACGACTGTATGTGCTTTCTGAGGCTCGGGGGTGAGACACCGCCAACTTCCTGACTCCGGGCAGCTACTGAGAATTTCTTGATGGAAAAGCTGATTTTTTGGCCCGACGAGGCAGCCGAATATTACTATACGGGGTATATGAATAATTTATCGTAAACTGCTTTTATTTCATATTACCTAAACACTTTTTATCGTTTTTATTATATCGGACATAATGTGATGCATAGATATTGTGGCAGTTTTATACTATACGAATAGCTACACACTACACACAAATGCTTAAAATACCATAAATATTTTCCTGGCTACTAAAATTAAATAAACATGGAGTTGGTAAAATGACATTGTGATCAAGACAATATTTTTAGAACGACGGCAAAGAATCAATGTTGAAGAAAATGGCAGATATTTATGGAATGTTATTTAGCTCAGCGGGGGCCGGTTGTAGCATGTCGCAATTTTTTAAAGTAAATATTAACATTGTGTTTAAATTTTAACCGTTCTCAAAGAATCAACTTTGTCATCTACGACTGCTTGAAATTTTTTTTTCATTCTGTCATTCATAAATTACAGCCAAATCAATAGAAGCCAAATCAAATCAAAAGTCATTCATATTTGCCATAGTTGCCATGCTATTGAAGCATGTTGACAATCGCGGCTTTTTATTGTTTTTGATTAGTTATCAGAAAAAAAGCCGCTGCCGGTCTCCTTTTTCAGATTCTCTCTATCACCTCTTACTTAACCAATGGGATGATATGGGGTAGTTATGATTGTAAATAATAATGCAATCATTTCAACATTGAGTTATTTTTGTTATGGCTATCTAGTAGCTTATTAATTTTTGACGGCTCCGTGGCGCAGTGGCTTAGCAATGAGTTGTTGCGCTGGGGGCCGCGGTTTCGAATCCCGCACGGAACAAGTATTTGTATGGCCTACAAATAATTGTTCCGGGTCTGGATGTTTGTCCTCGTGTCGGAATTTATGTTTGTAAACTGATTCCACGATACAGGAGAATATCCTAGTGTAGGGGTCACTTTTTTAATACAAAAAGTCAAATTAATATAGGTACATAGAATTTCATCATCATCATAAATTATAGCAGACTTCACATGACCACTGCTGAAAAAGGCCTCCCCCAAGGAATGCCAAAAACACGGTCCAGAGTCACCTGCGCCTATATCCATCGACTTCCTACATATCTTACCAGGTCGACATCTATCTAATAGGGGCCACCCTAACACTTCACTTTTTGATAGGATAAGGGTAACAAACGAGCACACAGTCCAGCAGCATAGCTCTATCACGTAAAAAATTCACTTACCTGTACGACGATACCATATGAAATTTACGACCATAATTAGTGTTTAATGCTATGTAGTTGTTTGATTAGTTTATAAGTTTACGTAATCCAGTGTTGCACACAAACAACACGACAGCAAACTCTCACCCAGCAAACTAAGTGGAAACATGCCCGAGATTTATCTCCGTGATATAACCCGAAAGCAGAACACCTGCAGCATATTAAAGTAAACCAAAATATCCAAACTTCATCATAAATGATTATTTGACCAGGCTATAAATAATATTTATTTATTTATTTAGAAAACCAACAGCTCTTATGAATATACAATGTCAATAATTTATAAATGATTATAACAGCCAATTATAGGTTTCCCTGTATAAATCTTAAATGGTATCTCCTACTCTTAATACATATCAAATAAGAATAAGGTGAAACTAGTAAACTATGACTAAGAGGTATGCGCGTGCGCACGCGCGCGCACGCACGCATGTGTGTGCGTATGTGTGAGTGTGTGTGTGTGTGTGTGTGTGTGTGTGTGTGTGAGTGTGTGGGTGTGGGTGTGTGTGTGTGTGTGTGTGTTTGTGTGTGTGTGTGTGTGTGTGTGTGTGTGTGTGTGTGTGTCTGTTCGTGTAGGTATGGGTCAATAGATATATAAATAAATGTTTTATCATACGTATTATTTATAATATATCAATATAAAAAAAAACAATAAACAACATATGAAATTATACACTTTAATGTTATAATAATAGGTATGCAAATAGATAAGTTATTTACCGTAAAAGCTTGAGAACTTCTTGTTTGAATTTATCTTTGGACATGTAAAATATATCTAAGTTCGAGAATTTTTTATTGTATATTGAGCAAATCCGAATCAAGGGTGAGTTTCTTCCATAGTTAGAATTTCGAGCGTTGGGGGCGAATAAAGGGGTGTGTCTTGTACGCTTCTTGGGTACATTTACATTTATAGCAGATAGCAAAACCGGGGAATCCAGGTAGCTATTAGCTATATTAAACAAAAACATCATATCTAAGAGAGTACGTCTATTTTCTAAGGACATTACTTTATATATATAGTCATCATTATCTCTGGTTCAGTTTAATCAGTATATTCTGCATCTTATATTTTCTTATTATATATATATATATATATATATATATATATATATAATTATATGTATGTGTGTACATATTTACGTTAATTGTAACCGGCTTCGTAGTTTTCTCACTACCCAAAATTGACTGGCTGAGAATGTGTTTAGCACATTTTGATCCTGTACTTACGTGAGTTTCAATAAAGCTTAAGTAAATAAATGTTATAAATAATATGGATATAAATACTATAAACATATTAGTATTTTTATTCAATTTAAAACAGGCAGACACGTTACTGACAGTTACTATTTTATATAGAACTATACTAGGTAGTTACAGTTCAGGCTTTAAAAAGTTTAACAACATCCAACATCCGTCCATTCGTAAAATTAGTTTTATTCAAATGTGTAATATAGTAATTGTATTAGGATCTCCTATATTTAGGATATTTATATTCTAATACAATTACATTCTCGTACATATCGCGTTTCATAGAAATTCGAAGCAAAACCCTGACCACGTGGACTATCAAGAACACGCAATTTTTTATAACACATAGTCCACCTGATGGTAAGTGAATGTTGTGGACCATTTTTTATAGGATAGGGTGACAAACGAGCACACAGTCCACCTGATGGTAAGTGGTTGCTGTGACCTATAAACATCTACATCTATCCTCAATAAAGACTCAAAATGCAGATGCGTTTTCACTCGTGAGGACTAACATGGAATACCTCTTTTCCAGTAAAAAGGGTCTCCGATCTCTACACTCACCATACGAAATACAGCAGTGTTAAACAGCTATTTTACGCTGGTATTCTGTGAGAGCGTGGTCCTTCCCCGATTGATCCGACCCATTGGTACTACAACTATAGACTAACATAGCTGCAGCATGGCTCTACCACGTATAAAACCATAGACCATAGGTATAGACACCTACATCGACCGTCAGTTACGAATCAAAATGTACATGCGCTGTCACTCCTTAGGATTAAGATGGAATGCCTCGTTTCCAGTAAAAAAGGTATCCGATTCCCTACACTCATCGTACGAAGCACAGTAGCATTAAGCCGATATTTTACGTTAGTTTTCTGCGAGAACGTGATCCTTCCCCGGTCAAGCCGACCTATTCGTGCTACAAACATAATATAGCTGCAGCATGGCTCCACCACGTCTAAATTTCCACCATGTTCTTCGGCTGTTGCCCGCATAATGCAGTTGAACTTGCGATTATACAAATTGCGGCTAGCCACAATCGTAACTGCAAAATTCGGTTCAGAAAACGTTGAAACGGTGCTATCAGGACAAAAAATAAGAAGATGGACATGGAAAAAGTACTGTATACTACATCTTTACATACTATACCGATTTAGATGAAATTTTTTATATGTGATTAAATTGATTAGAAAATGTTTTAGGTTCACAATTGGACCTGGTAGGTGGCGTTGTTATTAACATCCAGAAATCAACCGTGTGAAGCAGTGGCGGATCGTTAGTTTACTCTATATAAAGAAGAAAAAGTAGGGAAAGAAATATTAAGTGTAGTATCCATCCAATTCATATGCACACCTAACTCGATGGAGGGTAACCACACACTAATAAACAGTGCGAAAAGCAACTATGCGGCTACCCGGTAGTCGAGCTGTAGCTCCCCGACACAGAGAATACATTTTATAAACGGAAACTTCGACCGACCGGAATTGTTTACGGACAGCCGTATCGCATTGCGAATAGAAATAAGTTTTACATAAATTTTTCGCTCACAGTCCGTACGGCAATGCGGACAGAATTGAGTGTATACTTACGTATATACTGTAATAAACTCATATTGTTGTCATGTGAGGTGAGTTTGACGGCTCCGTAGCGCAGTGGCTTAGCAATTGAGTTGCAGCGCAAGAGCCGTGGGTTCGAATTCCGCACGGAACAAGTATTTGCATGGCCTACAAATATTTGTTCCGGGTCTGGATATTTGTTCTTGTGCAATTTATGTTTGTAAACTGCCCCCATTATACAGGAGAAAATCCTAGTGTGGAGGTTACGTTTTTTTTTAAAAAAAAAAGAAAGTAATAAAAGTAACAGTGTATGGGAACCTATCACATCATTTTGTCCCGTGAATGCCGTAAGAGACAACAGTGCGAAATGTCATAAAGATTTAATGGATCTAATTTTGTTTACGCCAAACGTAAGATACGTAACTAGATCCCGTATGGCGTCAAATTGTGGTCAATCTATGGCCTCATAAATATGATTATTATTAGGTACAGATTTATTGGGAAAGCCTATATTCAACAGTGGACTTTTGATAGTCTGTAATGATGATGATTATGATAAACGATGATAAGATACCCAGACCGGCGTAGGGAAGTATTGTTAAAGGTTAAGAACGGCTGGTACTACGATATGCCAAACGTTCAGGCAAATCCACTCTACAACGGGGCAGTTTCATGTAATGTTGTGGACTCTTACCTGCTGATTAATAAAAAGAAGAAACTTATAAACGCATTCGTATTTCACAGGTTGTACCAAATACGAGTGGGCCTTCGAGTATCCCCGAAATTGCCGGTTCAAATCGAGACATCAGTGTCGAGCGGCAATGACACGGGCAGGTCCGGGCGGCCGACTGCCAACGCATCACTCGGCGGCTTGGCTGCATCGAGAGCCTTCCAGATAATGTACAGAAACGAAGAGGTCACATTGCGGAATATCGTGCAATTTAGAGCACATTTGTTAGGTAAGACAAAAAATTTATCAAAACAGTACTGGGCAAAAATATATATATTTCACGAAAAACTTTAATGGAGGTTCAGTGCAAACGATGTCTGGGGTTTGTTGGCTTCGCCGATAAAGATGTTAAGATTTAAGGAGTCCTAAATATGTGTTTGCCCACCTATATTACAAGTGTACAGGTCAAATACCTAAATACTGCCGGTACGTCACCAGTTTTCTTTTGCGAACTTGTCTGACACGCTGCCGTATTTCTAGATAATACCAATATATTATAAGGAGTTTTCTCGTGTGCTTTCTTGTCTCAAATCAAGCATTGTTATATAATAAGCATACATTTAGATTCACGAAAACTGATGACAGCATACAGCTCTGTGGCCACAATATTGACCTCACTTTTGGTCTCCTTCAAGCTGTTAAACCTAAATTATACAAGATGATGTTGTAATTCCTCTATATATTTTACAAGGTTCCTTTTATATCTTTTCTAGTCGACAGCCGCAACCTCAAGGAGTCCCTGGAACGAACGGAATGGAGTTTAGGCGTAGAACTATGGTGCAGCGAGGGTGCTCAGTCCAGTACCCTGGCGCCAGTATCCTGCCGCGTCCTCAAACTTCATTTCCAGCCTTCTCAGGGGCTGCATTACCACCTACCTGTTCTATTCGACTACTTTCATTTATCGGCCGTGTCCATTACCATTCACGCAAGTTTAGTTGCTTTGCATCAGCCTTATATCAAGTAAGTTACACAGTTATTATCATAGAACTATGTTACAATATTATACATTTACTAGGTGACCTGGCAGATGTTGTTCTACCTTTTTTATGAACTTAAAGTGACAAAGTTAAGGTCTACCTGATGGCAAAGTATTTAATATAGCCTCACGCCGTAGTCGTTCGAGTTCGACATCATCAAATATAATTGAGCGCATGATGTACATAACTCGGTCTGCCAGATTTTGCTCCATGACGGGAACAGATGGGACGCTAACCCTCCAGTTTCTTCCCCTTTCGCCCTAAAGTACACCCGCAATGCGTTTGTGTTCATAGTTTTTGTCCAACGCATGCGGCGTAATCCACCAGTGGCAGATGCCGCTTGCCGAGTCAGAGAGGACCCTGCCGACACCAAGCTATCTAGTGGGGATGATTGATGCGGGGTGTGCAAGGTAGTCTTGCAGTAGCTCGCGCTCGGCTGCTACCGCATGCTGTCGCGTCCAGCGATAGCTCCAGACACGCCCCGGCAATCCCCAAACACCGGCCTTTTGCTAGTACTATTTTTCTCCATCATCCAAATGGGCGTCAATGAACGGGAGACGCCCAGGCCCGGCACCGTTTCAAGGTGCGGTCGTAAGCATTCTGCCGAGTCACGGCGCCCGCACCTCTTGGCAAGGCGCTGACTGACTGCGCTGACATAGCAGTTTTGTCACTTAACTGTTACGTCAACGGGAGATGGGGTCATCACTTCCCCCCGCCGCGTTTCTTTTTATTGTTTAAATCTTTTTAATGTAGTTATAATATCTGAATCACCAGGATCAGTAATGGCCACTATGCATACCAAATACTATAGGTATTTACCACATGCGCTTCCGCTGTAGTGGAGTACTGCAGTTTTTGCCAAAAGAGCGTAATACTCAATTTCAGATTTTCTTAGTGGAGGACCATTTTGGCAATGATGACAAGTTTACCTTTTCCTTGACATAATTGCTTATATCGAAGGCAGTATTTGCCAGATTTCATAACCAATACCAATCTTGAGTTGATATATTGTATATAACATGAACACCGAAAGCCAATTTCAAATAGAAAATCCTACAGATGCGTTTTCACCTCTGAGGACTATAATGGAATGCTTTATAATCTGTACTTATACTCCATACAGTGTTGCCTGCACACTATTACTATTTGGCGGCAAAAATGGGTAAAAGGATCTTACTTACCAAAAAGTACTCCTTGAAAGAAAGGAAGTTTTGCCACCTAGCCCTTCTATTCGATAGGTGACACGATGAGTCTTTTTCCGAATTCACTCACGGCTTTCTACAGTGTAAATATAGAATATATTAAAACTCAACCACAATGCCACCTATCGGAACAAGATTTTGTGACTTTCTTTTTTGGCTTGATTTTGTGACTTTATTTTTTGACACTGAGTTATTTAGTCCATAAAATACAGATTTTGATAATATTGACACATCACCATTGTCCTAGCATTGCTAAGAACCTCTGGGTAGAGGGTAATAGAGTTCTATGGTTTTGTGCTATGAACCATGGTCTCGAAAAACGAATATATTATATGAATATGACCTCAATCAGTCAAGTCGTTCAGAGGCTACACGATCACTAACAGATGCACAAACGAATTAATATTAGTATATACATTAACGCTTTCTGTGGTGAAGTAGTCTTATATTAATAAGATTGAAAATAATCAGTCTGAATTTTTTTTACCAGATTTGGATGAAATTCCGCAATCAGTTCATATTTTGCTATTTAAAGTAGTAAGAAATTGTTAAATATAAATAATAAAATTGATTTAAATTTTTTGCATGCTGCTACGAAGAAAAAGTATAATGCAATACGTTCAAAGTTGGTAAGTAAATAGTGATCGTGAATAAGTTAATACAAACTATAATGCTATTCATTTTGCGTTTACTTTCGTGCATTTTAAAAAACGTTCCGGGCTATTTATAAATATAGGTATAAGTAAAAAAAAAACAAATCGTAACAACAGAAAAAAGAAAATTGATAATAAATATTTTAATTTTCAGTACCCCACGCTCCAGCAAACAATGGGGAAAATTGATGAAGAATGCGGGTTCTAACTTCAACACATCTGGCAGTTTCGAGAACATTCTATTCGGATCGAGCGGGAAATGCGCCGGCGGTAACTCTAGCAAGATAGCACACGCAAGGTGAATTTGCTTTTACTCCTGTTACAAGCACAGAATTATTAGGCTAATTACTTTATGTTTACAAGTATTTTAACTACTTTAAACTACTAGAAATCAAATTTTATATTAACAATTTAATTTTTCGTTTTCACAATGAAATGAATATAAGAATCGGTCCACCGATTTTTATTCTAATTGGCAAAAATTGTTTGAAAGGCCAACGCTTTTTCTTTTTGACGTATGAACGAAGAACAATTTTTAGGGGCACATGTTGCACTGTGGCATAGGAGGGTGTTTGGAGAATCATAGTTGCGAGCAGCATATTTTAGGGGATGTCATTTTAGGAAAGTAGTGAACTCTCCGCTTTAAATTTAACTCCACTAACATTGTAAACGAATGGTTAAAAATACTCTTGATGGCAAAAGATTTAACTGGTGTAGGTACGCAAGTAACGAGGGCTATACTAATGTTTAGTTTTTGGATTAGTTTTTAGTTTTATTCTTCTTATCTTGCTGGACATGAGTTTCTTATTTAAGCGACTTCTAAAAAATGAGGAGGTTCTCAATTCGAATTGTTACGCGATATCTTCGCAGATTGTGAACCAATTTTGATGATTTTTTTATTAAAAATTTTATACTTAAAAGGTGATTCCATATAAATTTGGCGAAAAAAAATTTCACTCCTAAGGGTAGCAAATAAATAACTTATTTTATAGCAATTTGAAGTCGGTTTTTATTTTTTGTTAAAAGTTATAATTATTACTAGCCCCCATGTGTCAAGACGCCCGCAGGGGGTTGAGAGCTTATGAATGACCGTGTGTCAGCCGACCCCGTGTGCCCATTTGGCAGTTAAACACGCCTTGTTTAATCTATGTTGTTCAAAAATAAAACGCTGTTTTAATCTTTGAACGACATAGATAAAGCCGCAATGTAACGTTTTCAAACGTTTTCGAATTGAACATTTTCGATTGCTTCAATCTGTTTTTGTTTTGCCGCGTAAAAAAGAAGATAGATATTAAAAAGTTTGTTGTGTGAAAAAAATGTAATGAGGGGTGTGTGTTTTTTAATCTCTTTTGTCTGTATTATACAACTCTAAGTGTTATTATAGTATCACTATAATCTTATTTCTGGACAATGGTGTAAGCAAACTCTCTTCTAAAACTTATTCTTATGGTGTCAATGTACACTTTTGTAAATACAGTAGTTTTATGACTTCTGTCTATGAGAGTAATATAAAACTAAAAAAATAAATAACAGCCATAGTACAACTTAAATCTGTATTAAGTGACAGAATATTGTCATTTTGCATGCGCTGCGTGTTTATATTGTGCTAGTAAACAAAATTAATTTGTTATCGATAAGTGGCAAAATGAAAAAGATTTGGTGCAGTAAAAAGGCCACGTTAAATCTAAATTAAATTTATTAAACACTATTTCCAAGACAAGATTTTTCATCTTTTATGCGTATATCTTAAGAGAGTTACATTTTATGTTAAAAAAACTGCTATACAGCATAATTAATAAAAATATAATATTATAGAACTGATTAAAAACCAATAGCTGCATGATATAATCCATAACATACTTAGTACAGCTACTAAGACTATAAGACCCTCGAAATAGCGTTTAGGCTGTTTACAAATTGCCGCCATTTTAAGACCCATAAACACAAAATTAAAAATATAAATTTGGGAATATTAGACATTAGTCTTAGCCTATACCTACCATTATTTCAGTTTGATTAATGATCACTGTACCTCAATGTGAAAAAAACATTAATTTAATTTTTTTATTCTAACCTATACACCCAATATTTAGTTAACGTATTTAGTATTTTGTCCTTATATTATTTTGTTATTTTCCTGGTGCGGCAATTTTTCGTTAGAAAACATATACAAGTTTACCGTAAAATTAATTTGGCACGTACAATTCACCAATTATTATCGTCAAGCTCAACTCGAATTCGCATATAATATTAATATGTTAAATATATGTACATAGGTACATTAAATGTCGCCATCATTCAATATACGTTTTTTTTGTTTTATATTCATTTGTACTGCCATTCAAAAACTAATTTAGAACATTTGTCTTTATAAGTTACTTATAAAATAATATCTGTAGTGTAATAGTTTCCTTGCACACCAAATAACAGCTGTTCATCATCATCATCATTACAGCTTTTCACAAGTCCACTGCTGAACATAGGCCTCCCCCAAGGAATGCCACAAAGCACGGTCCTGAGCCACCTGCATCCATCGACTTCCTGCATGTCTTACCAGGTCGTCACTCCACCTCGTGGGGGGTCGCCCTACACTTCGCCTACCGGTACGAGGCTGCCACTCGAGAACCTTTCTTCCCCATAGGTTGTCGGTTCTTCGAGCTATATGGCCGGCCCACTGCCACTTCAGCTTACTAATCCGTTGGGCTATGTCGGTTACTCTGGTTCTACTGCGGATATCCTCATTCCTAAGTTTATCACGCAAAGAAACTCCGAGCATAGCTCTCTCCATAGCTCGCTGAGCGACCTTGAGCTTCCTCATATGGCCAGCAGTGAAGGACCACGTCTCAGATCCGTAAGTCATCACTGGCAAAACGCACTGGTTGTACAATTTCGTTTTAAGGTTTTGAGGTATGTCTGACGAGAAGATGTGTCGTAGCTTCCCGAACGCTGCCCAGCCGAGTTGAATCCGTCGATTGACCTCTTGATCGAAGTTGGACTTACCTAGTCGGACTATTTGTCCCAGGTAAACATACTCGTCAACAACTTTGAGCTTAGTGCTCTCAACAGCTACCGGCATAGGTGTGACATGGACATTAAACATAATCTTTGTTTTGTCCATGTTCATCTTAAGACCTATCCGTTGGGAGACACTATTGAGGTCATTGAGCATAGTGCTTAGCTCCTCCAGCGATTCTGCCATAAGGACTATATCGTCGGCAAATCAAAGGTGAGTGATGTACTCGCCATTGATGTTAATACCGTATCCTTTCCAGTCCAGAAGCTTAAAAACGTCTTCCAATGCAGCGGTGAAGAGTTTCGGGGATATGACGTCACCCTGTCTTACACCTCTCTGCAATTGGATAGGTTTCGTACTCTGGTCCTGTACTCGGATAGCCATCGTAGCTCTACTGTACAAGCACTTCAGCACTTCGATATACCGACAGTCAACTTGGCACCGCTGAAGGGACTGCAGCACCGCCCAAATTTCGACGGAATCTAAGGCTTTCTCATAGTCCACATACACAGTACACATGGAAGTCATCAAGTCTGCGTGCGAGACGATTCATAATGATTCTCGAAGACAGCACGTAGACGCAGCTCAGAAGGGAAATCGCTCTGTAGTTCTTCAAGAGAGCATTGTCACCTTTCTTGAAGAACAAGACCACCGCACTTCTGCTCCACGCCTCCGGTGTAATGCCACCATGGAGGACGGAATTAAAGAGCTTCTGAAGGACTTCAAGTACCGGTTTTCCATCCGCTTTCAGAAGCTCCGCTGTAATTCCATCCTCGCCTGGGGCCTTGCCGTTTTTAAGATGCTGGAGAGCCATTCTAATCTCGCTCAGACTGACGTCCGGGATATCTTCGGAATAGTGTGAATATAATAAGACTCGCTCTTGGATCGTTACTCACACTTGCGTGTGGCTCCAACGATGACGTGTACAGCTGTCCATAGAACCTCTCAATCTCACTCAAATCTAAATCTAAATCTCAGGTGCCCCGGAAACGATGCTGCCACACTCGTTCTTCAGCTTTGACAGTTGGCTCTTTCTGGCAGACAGATCTCTGGCAAAAACTTTGGAGCCTTGGTTCCGCTCGATCGCTTTTTCAATATAAGCTGTATTGAAGTTGCGTAAGTCCCGCCGCATGCATTTGGAGATCTGTCTGTTCAGTTGCCTGTATGCCGTCAAATCTACTGAAGAATGTAGCTTCATCTCCCGTCTAACAGCCATGTGATTAAGAGTGTGATTGGAGAGTTTTTGTGTTCTTCTGCGGCGGGTCTTGTAGAACTTAGCTCCGACCGCATGGACAGTTTCCACGAGCTTGTCATTCATATCGTCCACTTCATTGCAGTCTTCTAGGCACTGAAAACGGTTTTGTAACTCGAGCTGAAAGGTTTCGGGACTTTGGAACAGAGTACGAGGGGGACGGAGCGCTGACTTCATTAGACAAGACCTCTCCAACTTAACGTTTTGGTTCAGTGTGCCTCTAACCATTCGGTGATCGCTACCAGTTTTCACCCTAGCGATCACCGAGACATCACTGAACAGTTGTCGTCTGGTCGTCATAATGAAGTCAATCTCATTTTTTTGTCGAACCGTCGGGGCTCGACCAGGTCCACTTCCTGTAGGGCTGTTTCTGGAAGAAAGAGTTCATCATAAAGAGTTCCTCTTTCTCCATGAAGTCGGCCAGCTGCTGGCCCCTTGGGTTCCGTTGCCCTATTCCATATTTCCCTACTTTCAGCTCACCGTTCTCTCTTGTGCCTAGTTTTGCATTGAAGTCTCCCATTAACACCGTATATTGGGTTTTGGAGGAATGCATGGCTCTAGAGATATCCTCATACATTTCCTCCACCTCCTCATCAGGGTGTGTCGAGGTTGGTGCGTAAACCTGTATGACCTTCAGCGAATACCGTTTAGTGATTCTGAGTATAAGGTACGCAACCCTCGTCGACACAGTCCCGATCTTTACAATGTTGTTAACGAGAGATTTGTGGACAATAAATCCGACACCTCCTTGGGACAGATGGTCGCCCTCCCGGTGATAGAGCAAGTTGCCGGATTCGAGGATTACCGTGTCCTCCCCCTCTCTTCGGACTTCCTATAATATGCCAGCGTAACTTGTCTATCTCTTCTTCCAGCTCCACGATCTTCTCGTCAGTCCTCAGGGTGCGTACGTTGTACGTTGCCAGCTCGAGTCGTCGTGGGTGGCAACCGAACCTTCACCGGAGATTCTTAGCACCCCCTGCCCCGCCGTTACCATGGTCGCCACCGTAGCCAGGAATAGTGGGGCCGCCGGGGACTGGGGGCCGTCTGTTTGTTGCTCTAATCATTGGGGGGTATTTGCCATAGTTGCCACGCTTGGCGAGCGGGTTGACAACCGCAGTTTTTTTATTGTAATTTTGGCTATTATCAGGAAGATGCTGCTGGCCATCTCCTGCCTGTTTCCCTTTGTCGCCTTTTACACGCACGGGAAGATATGGGGTAGTGGATATTCTTAACCGCCACTATACGGCAGTAATAACAGCTGTTATACAGCAGTTATAGAGCCTCTGTTATGCTTGTACAGCTACTGTACAGCATTACTAACGCATAAAGCTGCATAATTTGTGCTAATGTTTTACTTATAAGAACTGTATAAGCGCTTATACAGCTTTTATACAGCCAGAAAATACAGCTTCTGGTATAAAAAACGTACTTCAATACAGCTCGTATACAGCTTGCATGCTGCTTGGGTTCTTACGAACCCACGGGACGAAAAGGGGTGATAGATTCTCTTATGTCACCACTATACGGCACAGTTTTTAGTTTTACTTAAAGTTAGTGTTTCAACCCATAAAAGTCTCTCTCCATAGATGGCTTCATAGGGGGGATACTTGCCATAGTTTCCACACTTGGCAAGCGGGTTGACTACCGCAGTTTTTTTTTTTTTTAATTTTTAGTCGTTATTACGAAGACACTGCTGCTCATATCCTGATTTGTTCCCTTCTGTCGCCTCACAACACCCACGAAATGTAATGGGGTAGTGGATATTCTTACACTGTCATTACACAGTAATAAATAACTTAAACTAGAAATAATTAACTGGGGAATGTAAGAGGGAACCGTTTTCCCCAAATGTCAATCTCACCTGTACGCAGTGCAAAAGACCTATTAAAGAAGCTGATTATGTGAGGGCAATAAATATCATACGTAAAAGAACATCGCACAATATCAATTTTTTGTTGATTTCAGACAAGTTCACGCTGAAGTGTGCGGTATTCTCCTGGGATCTCTAGAGGGACTGCAAAATGCACTTACTGTATGTGGCTCCACTGGCGTACTCCTTAGTCCTGAGGAATCTTCTTCTAATTCTATAGTTGGAGAAGTATCTCAAAGGATAAAAGATCTTAGTGACAATAGCAAAGTTAGTAAATATTGTTTTCATATACAACGCTACTATATACAGTTTTTTTTTTAAAATTTAATGTAATTTGTTTCAAATTCTGTAGTTAAATAATATAAGCAAGTGGACATTTTTTTTATTTAAAAAGAAATTACCACGTTATTATCATATATTGCATTGTCATCCGAATTTGAGCTATATTCAAAATATCCAGTTTCCAGCTCATCGGGAAGTTAGTTTCAAATCGATTACTAAATTCCACCCGGAACGACAAAAACGTGGTAATATTGCTTTTTAGCTGCTGCTGTAGAAGACGAAATGAAATATGATTCTACTCTTCCATATTCCATTATCCCTATTCTCGGATCTACTTTTTTATAGAACAAAGGTGACAAACGGGCACTCAGGTAAGTAGACACTGTGGCCCATGGACTATTAGATTTACATTCATCCTCGATTAAGTATCAAAATGCCGAAGCGTTTTCATGCCTGAGGACTAAGATGGAATGCCTCGTTTCCAGTGAAAAGGGTCTGCGGTTCTCTACATTCACCGCACGAAACTTATGCTGGTATTTTGTGAGAACGTGGTCATACCCCGGTCGAACCGATCCTTTCGTGCTACGACCAAAATATTGCTACAGCGTGATTCTACCACCTATAAAAATATGATAATCTGTTTTATATGTCAAACACTTTTTTTTATAGGAGAGGGGGCAAACGAGCATGCGGCTCACCTGATGGTAAGTGACTACCGCCGCCCATGAACAACTGCAACACCAGGGAGGGAATTGAAGATGCGTTGCCGGCCTTTTAAAAAGGAGTAGGCTCTTTTCTTGAAGATCCCTAAGTCGTATCTGTGTAGAAAAATCGCTGATGGTAATCGATTCCACAAGGAAGTCGTGCGAGGAAGAAAACATTTTCTAAATCGCACAGTGGTGGACCATCAATCATCCAGATGGTGTGGATGGTATCGGGAGTTCTGCCGCGATGTGCGTTCGTGAAATTTGGCGGCTGGGATTAATCCGAACAATTCCTCAGAGCACTCCCCGTGGTAAATGCGAAAGAAAATGCAAAGAGATGCAACATCTCTTCGCTGCGCCAATGGATCGAGCCGATCGGAAAGGACTCGGTCGTCGACGATTCGAGCCGCTCTGAGCTGGATGCGGTCAAGTGGAAGGAGCTGGCACTGGGGAGCCCCAGCCCAGAGATGGGAAGAGTATTCCATGTGAGGCCGAACCTGCGCCTTGTAAAGTTGCAGGCGTTGTGCCGGCATGATATACTGACCCGCTCAGCTGAGTACGCCAAGCTTTTTAGAGGCCAATTTGGCCTTCTCTTCCAAGTGACCACGAAACTGCACGTCACTCGATATGTCGACTCCGAGGATTCCGATACTGGAAGAAGGGGAGTGCCTTGAAACTGACGTACGTAACGTACGTACGACAAAGGGGTTCTTTTTAGCGGTAAACGCGCAAACTTGTGTCTTCTGAGGATTAAACTGGACTAAATTTAGTCGCCCCCAATCCGAGACTTTGTTCAGCAAAGACTCGACTTCAGACACAAGTTTTATTTTCATAATTTTCATAATTTCATTTCAATCAAATCAATTTGTGATGTATATCGTACGTCACAAATATCTTTTGGATTTTTCAAACGTTAGCTCTACACTAGAATTTCTCCTCTAATGTGAAGACGTTTTATATAGGTGATTTATTTTCTTGTTCTTCCTTTATCGGCCCAAAAAAGTCTACATCTGGACATGGCCCACTCCCGTGAAAGGAAGGATTTACCCTAATCATCAAGCTTGACAGGTGGATTGACGATCGCATTGCCAGAGGTCTGACGCTGCTTCCCGTCGTTGGTCTGGGTATTTATCGAAAGCCATAAGATTTTACAGGCATTCCCCATAGCCACCTCTAACGACACCCACGGAACGAAATAGGGTGATAGATTATTTTACACCCACCACTCGTCATACAAATAATGAAGAAAATAATAAATAATATACGAAGAAACTTTTTCCCCGGCCTAACTATACCATTATTTAAATGAATTGGAATAGAACCAGCATGATAGTGATCATCTCCAGGGTTTATTTCGTAGCCCTTTTTATATGGTTTATTTTGAATTAAATTTTTATGATTGATAAACATTGAACATATTGTGAGATTTTGTTGTAAAACCATATACATTGCCTCCTAAATGTGTTACCAATTCCGAGTCTAGTAACAAGCTTGTTCTTAGTATTCAAAGTGTGAACACCTATATTATGTTCTAATCAAAGATATTTATGTTCTAATTTACAGACATTTTTTGTTCATAAATATATTGTGAGGTTAAAGTTAATGTACTTATTTGTTTAAACTTTTCATTAAGAGGCCCTTTACATTGTAGTTTTGCTATTACGGCCCTCTTTTGCAAAATACTGGTGAGAATGGGCATATTCCGGTAAAGGAAGTATTTTGCAACTATCGCCATGCTTAGTAGGTAGATTGGCGACCGCATTAACCTAATTCTCGTGTCCTGGACCTTCATTATTCACAACTGACATAAATGCAAGATGGCTACCTCCTATGAAAAGTATATGATGAAATGCTCCCATTCCGAAATAAAGAGACTCAAACTTATTCTATTTTTAACTTAGAAACCGGAGGCGGGCTTTGAAGAAGAGTGGGCAATGGGCGCAGCACATGACATTGCCCGACTGTGCGCAGAGGTCACACTTCGGTGGCGCGCCTTTTTACACCATACAACCGATCGTCCGCACGTTCATCACGCTTTAGCTGCTGCACATCATGCACTACGGTATAATATTTCTTTTCTTTTATATTTTATAATTCCTCCTTCTACCTTTCACCATTAAGCAACCACACGCCCGGCCAGCCTCTATCCGCTCCTTGTCGACTAACTACGCATTCGAACCGAACGGATTGGTTCGTCGTTCGCTACGCGATCAGCAAATATGTGAAATAATTTGGGAGACAGACTACAATGTAAGTATCTTCGAAGGAAAAGTGAATATCCTTTTGCGAATCTAAGTCAGTGCGATTTATTAACTTCGCCTGTTTCACCAGTTACCATCAGGTTAAAAAATATTTTAATATCGCTAATTAATGGAAATATAGTAGCACTATTGAAACAAAAAAGAATAATGAATAGCAATGAGTAAGGACATGCTAGAATTTCTGTTAACACAAACGATATTTCGTCACATGTCACATCGATAGTTTTCAATCGACTCTAAACTTAAAGATTCCACAACTCGACGTAATTGTCATCAACGTTTTTTTTTTAAATATCAAAATGACAAACAAGCTGACAGTCAATCTGATAATTATAGAATACTGCAGACCATGAACACTTCAGATGTGTTATTTTTAAGTATTTTAAAATTTAATACCTTACAGCTCAAAACGATACACGAGCTGACAGACAACCTTTAAAGATTTGAAAATTTAATGCCTTAGTTAGCTACTTAACTCATCAAACTGAAAAGCAGCAGTTGGAACATAATGGCGAAGAAATAGATATAGAGAGAAATACCTAGCTAACTGGACAGACTCTTAAACAGAAAACAAGCTCTACCATCTGAACGAAGATACATACCTACGAATATTAATACCACAACTATTTGTTATATTAATAATACGTTATACACAACGTTATATTAATAATACTCTATTTTATATAACATTCATTTCATGGTTCTAATGAAATATTGTGGCTTATTTTTCTATTAAAGGATAAATATAATATATTAAAAAAGATAACAATATGCATATATTACTCCTACCAGCATCAAACGCTTCTCCGAATGCTTCTTCGTGCTGGACAACCCACGCCACTCATTGGCTGGTTGCTATGATAGCAACTACCAGTCATACCAAAGTGTGGGTGAGGCGGCACGTCGCTCCCGCTACCTTGCCCTCTTGCCACCTCTACCAGTTCACTGCATTGCATTAGACGGTGATCCTCACATCATGCCTATTATATTTGAGGATAGGTAAGACTATAAGAAATTCAAATACTGAGTTGTGTAATTTTATTTTTGAATAAGTGCAATAAAGGTTAATGTTTTAATTTTTTGCATGCAGATATCAAGATACTGCAGAATTTGCGAGAAGACGTTCATTTTTAAATTCTAGCACCAATAAATCGGGCAGTGGTAAGTAATTCTTGAAATTTACTTTCTTAGGGTAACATAGGATAACATACAATTACTTGTTCTCACTTTGAGATTACATTAAACTATATATAACCTCTTTAATTTAAATTTCTAAATAAGAAATATTATTTTGCTCATATTGCAGATCCATTCTTATGTTCAGAACCTTCAAGGGAAGACTGTGGCTGTAGTGTAAGCTCAATTATAGACTCAAGAAGGCCTTCTTCTGAAGCTTCTAGAGTAACATCAACGTTACCAAAAACTATAATGGATGTTCTCGAACCACAATACAATGCGCCAAAAAGTAATGCACAAAACGTAGTACAAGCTACTTTGACTTTAGCACCTCAAAAATCAGCCCAAGGTTCTCCTAAAAGAACAATAGTAAAACAAAATGTAGTAGAAATAAATAAACCTCATAATAAGCAATTAGAACTAACGGGTAGAAACAGGTACATTGTACAGAATAATCAAATAAGCGAAATTCAGCTTCCTCCTAACAACGTATTTTCTTCATGCTCTATTCAACAAGGACAACAGTTATCAAGATATTCAGCGTCAACGTTATTAGATATTAATGCTACAAAAAATAATGTAGGAGGGCCACGAACGGTAAAAGATAAATCTGAATTGAATGAAGTATTCAGTCAAAAGCATGCAATCACGAGCGGTGTAAGCACTTTACCAGCAAGACATAGTAAATCGTTGGATCAACTGAGAGTTTCGCAAATGACACCGCTGAGTGTACAAACATTAACAAAAAACTTACGAAATAATTCTAATTCATCTGTTAATTACCCTAAACCTTACCAACCTCCCCAGCAAGTGAAACCCACTACTTTGCCACGAAGTGTAACGACGACAACATATCCAACAAGTACAACGACTAGATGTGGATCTAAAGGCGATGATTATAGACGAAATATTAACGAGTTTAGAGAGAAATACAAAAATCCATGTAATTTCAATGTGAATATTCACGGAACGAACAATGAAGTATTCCATAATGTAGGATATAATAAATACGATGGAAACACAAACTCTAATCATAACCAAGTTTATGGATACACTTTCGGTAATCAGGGTACTCTGCAAGTAAATAATGTAATTCGTAATCCTTTAGAATTTCAAAGAGGTTATAGAGTAAATTTACCCCGTCCTATGTTGCCTCCGCGTAATTCTTATCCACCAGTTAGTGGTAAAACTCAAGTAACTGATCAGAGTAGCTTAGTATCAAATAAGCATGTTCATAGATCTAATTCTACACACATATTTCATCAAAATATAGACAGTCAGCAGCAACAACAAATTGATATCGAAGCAGCACGCAACCAACTAAGGCATGAATTAAATTACTACCTTCAGAAAGGAGACTGGAGTTATGATTTCAATACAGGTAGCTTAATTCAAAATTATCAAAAGAAATCTAGTAAAAGCAGTGATGACAGCGGATTTGTAATGACTTTAGACAGAAGCAGTGACGGTACTTCCAAATCAAATTATTCTAAAACTCCACCGTCGACTCCGCATTCCACTATGCCATCAGTGAGGCATAAAAAGAGTCGATCCAAAGAATCTAAATTAAATAACAGTACTAAAGAAGGTACTAAATTGAACTCAAGTCGAGATTCGCTAAGTAGTCATCATTCTATTATATCAAGGGATAGCAAATCTGATCGACATACATCGAAATCCGACCGAAGCACCCCAAAATCTGATAGAGCAACGCCTCGGTCCGAAAGAGGAACTCCTAAATCAGGTGGGATAACTCCAAGATCAGGATTAGCAACACCCAAGTCTGGAAGAGTTACACCAAAATCTGGAACAACAACACCGAAAAGTGGCAGATCGAGTGGTAAGCCAGAAAAACGAACGAAACACAAAGCCTCAGAAAAAATGACACAGTTAATGTCTGAAGCGGCGTCATCTTCTAGTAACGAGAGTATACCATTTGAACTTAGGAGGTTAGAATCTTCAGTGAGTGTTCCGTATAGCCTCGACCATGGAGCAGAATTAAGACACTGTAGAAGCGCTGCTTCAGTCTTGGATGAACCTCATCTTAACAATACTTTTGGTTCAGAGTCCTTACCAAATTTAGCGCCCCCACCCGCATTTGAATCACCTCCATTAGACATAACAGATAAAGACTTCAAAATTATGCCTCCTGAAAATTTTTTGAGCAAAAAAGAAAAACAAAGTAGTAATTCTACGTCTAGTTTGAGTGAACAAAGTGGTTGGGTTTCTAGTGGAAGAAGCTCAGGACCATCTTCACCCGATAATGGAAGTTGTCAATTAAATGAAAATTATGCGCCACCTAATAAATCACCGATTTCTAAAGTTTCCAATAAATTGTACGATACAGCGACCGAATTTCAAAATCAAGATGGTGAAAAAATAAGTGACTTTAAAAGAACTGTTTTAAACGGTGAACAACTACGAGAAAGGTTACTAAAACTTGCAGTAAAAGCTGCTCAAAATTCGAACGAAAAAATAGAATGCTGTGACAAGGAAGTATGTGAAGAGTGCACTATTTGTAGTGATTCCATTTGCACGGATAGTCAATGCGAGTATAACAAAATATTACATAATAATGGCATTGATACGGGATGCAATTCCGACACTTGTACAGCGAGTTGTTTTCAGCAATATTCTGAATCAAGTAGGAGTAAACTTAGTCAAAGACACAACTCATTTAGCGGGATACAAGTTAAAACTTTAAGTACTGTTCCCATTCCTACAAATGAAGGCAATGTTAAGAAATCTAAGATTGGTGATAATCTGCATCCATATATACGAAAAGAAATTTCACCTAAATTACAACCATTACCTGCTAAATCTGATTCTCTAAAGAAAACGAAATTAAAAGACAGAATAGAGTACACAGAAAAACTTTTGGCAGCAGAAATACGAAGTCTTACTGTCGATCGCTCTTGTAAAAGTCACACCAAAAAGACATCACCTACCTCTACTTCTGCTGGGCAAAGATATCAAAATAAGGCCAAATCTGAAGTGGACCTTAGTCATTATGGCGCTGACAATGATTACGAACACTTACCACCACCACAACAATTTAGAGATGCTCCTCCACCACCCGATGCATTTAAGGTAGAGCATTTTTAACGTTTTTAAATACTTATACTTAATTATATTTTGTCAAATATACACTAAAAGCACATTTTTCATTTAATTTTACAGGATCCACCAACAAAGTCACCAGTATTAAGTAGGCAAAGTAGTAAATCTTCAACACCCTCCAAAACACCAAGAAAACAAGCAAGTCAACCCTCTACCCTTCAATTAGATAATCCCTTATATCACGTCTGTGAAGGTAAGGAAAACGAATACACATTCTTATGCTTCTAGCTTCTGCTTATAATAATACTAACTAATACGCTGTTGACACCAGGAATCATAGAGAGGCGAAAATTAAGGCCTCATCAATCTGTCAATGCAACAGCCACAATTTCGGCTAGCACGCTTAACAAAAGTCAAAGCACTGGGGAACTTGCTTCTAGAAATGAGAATGGAAATAACAAAGGTAAACAGCTAGTCTTAATTATTTTTCCTAATTATTTTAACTAAACTAACTAAGATGCACAATAAATTATTTGATAAAATATTTTGTAATGATTTGGTTTCTGGCCATTGAAGTTATTTAAAATTTCAGAGCAACGAGAAAGCAACCTCGTTAGTATATTTGGGCTGGCAGAATCAGAGCGTTTATTCGTAAAATGTAGAGAAGAATTCAGGCAAAGCGTTAAATATCCTGGAGCTATATATTCAGATTTTCCGCCTATAGAAAATTCTCTACCGTACTTTCATATCAGCGATGAATATCGTATGTTTAATCCAGAAGGTAAAAAAGAAAACTTATTCCATTTTTATTAATATTTTAAATTTATACAAGTAATCTGTTAAACTTTTAATTCTATATAAAATAATAACAAATATTCGACATATATTCTAGGCTTGCATCTTATAATTTGCGTGCACGGATTAGATGGCAACGCTGCAGATCTGCGACTAGTAAAAACATATCTGGAGCTTGGTCTACCAGGTGCTAGGCTAGATTTTCTGATGTCTGAAAGAAACCAAGGCGACACATTCTCTGATTTTGATACTATGACTGACAGGTACGCTTTAATGTTACTATCAAACATAATATAAAACTACAGCAGCCTTATGATGAAGAATGCAAACTGCGAAACTAACTCCGCCATTTGACTACTGTCTAAAGTTGTTATATGTAACGGGAGTATTAGTATTGTAAATAAAATAACTAGTATTCCTTTTTTATTATGCATAAAAAATTACATAGATTATGTTGTCAAATATATAACTTCGTTAAGACGTATTTTATTGTATTTATTTTACATTGCAGACTCGTTCAAGAAATTTTGACGCACATACAAAACTCGAGCGAGCCAGCTAGAATAAGCTTCGTAGGTCATTCCTTAGGAACTATAATTATTAGATCTGCACTAGCGAGACCACAAATGAAGGCTTACTTGGGAAAATTGCACACGTTTCTGTCTCTTAGCGGTCCACACTTGGGTACATTGTACAATTCCAGCGGTCTAGTAAATGCGGGTAATTATAATTGTTCATAATTTATAAAGTAATTAATTTTTTTTCATTCATTTCAACTTATCAACTTTTAAGCATTCCTAAACAGAGTGCCTCATAGATTAGATAGATAGATTGCAATGCTTGGAAGGCGATCTAGAATCCTAAGTTTTTTTTTTTGGAGATATTGTTAGGAAAATGCTACCGTCCGTCTCCTTGCCCATCTTGTGTTTCATTTCCTTCCATTGCCTTTTATGACACACCCAGGATAATATGGAGTAGTGAATTTTCATACGCCACTATACGATGATGTTCTATATCAAAACTACCACATATTTTGCTTATTTTATGGTGTAATCTAAGATGTGAATCTTAGATTGCACATTATTAATGTTTCTTTAACTAAATTGCATATAAATTCGTGAATAATCCACATATTATGATTCTATATCAACATATTTTGGTGATCATCAAGTTTATAAATAAAAATCACAATATCTTCCATCAGAAAAAGTCCAATAATCTCAGCACAACGCCGTGATCGCCATGTTTGTTAGATTTATGTCGCCCACCGCGCTGTGTACATTGGTTTCTAGACCCATACAGAATCAATCACAAAATTGAAAATGGCGGGATTGAGCTACTGTCCAAAGAATCGATGGACCGATGAACTGCTTAGACTGATCAGTCAGTCGAAAAACTTGCTCCAAAACGGTGATTTTTAAAAAAGTCAATACTGATAGAACAATAATGTCTTTAAGATACCTAAAAATACAGTGATTATCTTTTGTTTTAAAAAGCAGTAGTCACCTATTTGTAATATACCTACTAATGTGCAAATCTAGAAAATACTAATTTACGCAATGTGAGTCCATATCTGTGTTGAAAAACTTCACTACGAAACAATTCAATCAAGATTTACGGGATACATTCGAAATGCCCTGCCATATTGCATGCTGGTGAGCCGAATTGAAATGTTGAAAATTATCTACCAAAATTGTCCACGCTCTATGACAGCACTGATCAAAGAAATGGTTAACAAAAGTCGAAAAAAAATGTTTTCGCGGATCGTTCTGTTGATGTTGAAGAAACAAAGAAATCGTTGGGTAATGTGTATAGCATTATACATAAAAAATTAGCCGCACATTAAGTGCCTTAGGTACCCAGAATGTTTGCACCAGACTAGCAACTCGTGATTTTAATTTATTTCTGAGATTGAAGAATTATCTGAGAGTTCTTAGTAAAACAATACAGGAATTTATAGGTGCTCCAGATGAAGAGTTCTTTAGAATGGGAATCTTATGCTTAAAAAGATCCAAGTGCACCTTTTAGTGTAATGCAGACATTACACACTAAAAAGTTTACTAAGTATACACTATCTAAAATTAAAATTAAATTTAATGAATTCGTAAAAAAGTAACCGTAACATACTTATTCTCATTTTTATGGAACATATTTACATTGTATAGGAAATTATTATTTAAGACATTTATAAAAACATCCTATCAAATTCATTTATTAAAAAGTAAACTAAATCCATTTCAGGTATGTGGTTCATGCAAAAGTGGAAGAAATCTGGTTCCTTACTCCAGTTATCACTACGCGACGCATCCGACCCTCGTCAATCTTTCCTCTACCGGCTAAGTGAAAGAAGCCAGCTGCACCAGTTTAAACATATTCTATTGTGTGGCTCTGGACAAGACAGATATGTTCCCTTACATTCCGCACGCTTGGAACTCTGCAAAGCTGCCGCCAAAGACACCTCATTATTGGGTCAAGCTTATAGAGAAATGGTAACTTTTAATAAATAAGTTATTTACAATATCTTTACTTTCATTAGTACTAAAACTATAATTGATTCTAAAAAAAAATTGCAGACAGTAAAAAAATTCAGTAATACACACTGACAGGCAAACTAGGGAGCACAGAGCCAAATACCTTCTCACTGAAAATTCTGTTTAGCGTTTTTAAAATGGATCTTGTCCCTTCAATGGACACCCGGAGCTTCAATCAATCAGCAGGCCTTAACCTCGTGCGAGCGAGCGAGTTCCAATTATTTGAATTTTATTCTGAAAAGATATTAAACAATAAATTCCGTTTTTAGGGTTCCGTACCCGAAGGGTAACCAACGGGACCCTATTTCTAAGCCTCCTCTGTTCGTCCGTCCGTCCGACCGTCCGTCTATCCGTGTATCTCATGATTCGTAATAGGTAGACAGTTAAAATTTTCACAGAATGTGTATTTCTGAAGCCGCTATATAACAACAAATATATATAACAACAAATAATAAAAATAAATTAAAAACTCCCCTACTAGAAACGTGTATTACGATTGCACGGAATAATGCATTAACTATTTTGTTTTTGCGCTTTAGCAATTGAAAGAATAAATTAAAATCTAAATAGTACTTCACTTTTCCGCCATAAAGACTCTTGTCGCACCTGCTTACAGCGTTTCAGTACATATGGTTTATTTTTAGGTACATAATATGGTGTCACCGCTAGCATCACGCTCCTCCAATGTGTCCGTGGTTCGCTACGACGTGCAGCACGCTCTGCCGCACACCGCCAGCGCTCTCGTCGGCCGTGCAGCTCACATAGCCGCCCTCGACTCCGACCTATTCATAGAAAAGTTTCTCTTGGTCTCCGCACTCAAATATTTCCGATAGAAAAACCTTTAATTACTCAAATGTTAATTATACTTGGGCATGAGTATGATTGAAATATTTAAAAAAATTGCCATTTACGTACCTACATACCAAGGTTTATTTTCTCATTCGAAGATTTCATCGCAAATATTTTTTTCAAGTTTTGTCCACGAAGTTTTTGCTATGTTAATGAAATTGAAATTGATAAGAAATTTGGCACTATTCGTATGTGATGAAGTCGATAGATGCAGGCGGTTTGAGACCGTGCTTTGTGGTATGGGAAGGACTATGTTTAGCTGTAATGATGTGTTGATGCTGATGAGTGTGTGACCTGCGCTGCGCTACTTTAAGCCATGAAATCTTACGCCATTAGATATGCAGTTCTTCTGTTATTGAATAACTATGTTAATTACTAGACTTTATATTTGTATCTTTGGTTGTGATTTTTTTCATTATACAAATTGTTTTGAAAAAAAGCTAATTAATACTTATAAAAAAAAGCCCCTTTTTCTATGTATGGCCTATTTCTTTTAAAAATTCTCTTTGATATTGACTTTTTTATATAAACCATGTAAGTTTAAATGTAAACTATTTTAATTATTTAAAAGCCTAATTAAATTTGAGTCTCTGCAGTCTTTCTTTTTTGCTTTAATTTCTTACAAATAACACCAAACTACAAGGAATTTTCAATTTACACTCGATAATAATCGATAGTTACTACGACGATATTTGAAATGGAAATGGCTGCTTAATCTATCTAAAAGTGTGATAATCGCCTAGAATTTATTATATCCAAACTCCAGAGCGACTATGAGCTTCATTGAATAACAATGAAGCAACATTTTGAATTAAATAGCATTAAGACGGATCTTTACACCAAATAATTAAGACTACAATTTAGCTAATGTAGATATTGTAGATTTATTTGTATTAGTTATTACAATTGATTGATGTGTCATAAATGGGATGGTACTGGAAAATATACAGATACAATACAATATTAAACAGAACTTAGAATGTACCGATGTTCCATTTCAAAGCAACATGCAGTAAAAGTATGGTATTTAAAGTACGAACCTATATCCATCTAAGAATGATAACTACTAATATTGCAGCTCGTTGCTCGTCTATCTATGAAATCGATATTGTTAGAAATACTGTTGGTCACTGACCATATTATCGTGAATAGGTACTTTAATTTAAATTGAATGTTTAATTTCATGATCTTCATTTATTGTAAGACACAAGACATGCGATCGGTGTCAAAACAGTTTGTTTTTGTTAAAACATTTGGCCGTTTCGAATTCTGATTCGGAGATAATAAAGTATCGTTAATAATGAAGTTTCCGTGAAATTAGCTATCTTTATTTGTAATACTTTTACATACCATTTTGAATTGAAATGGCACGTCTAAATGTTATAAGTAATTATGTTGTAAAATATGGAAATGATTACATACTCGTACATTTGCTTTGGAGAAAATATATTATAGAATCAATTTACAAAAAATATACACTGCTCAAATTCGGTATCAAAAGCAGATTTAAAAATGATTTCTTATATTTACGCGAACACTACACATTGAATAAAACTATTTTTACGGTTTTTAATTTTTATCGCGTTTAATTTGCTATTTTAATTCCCGACGTTTCGGGTGCTGTACAGCAACCCATGGTCACGGGGGGGACTGAGATGTTTGACGTTCCGATGTCACAGTTAGCCCGGCTGCAGTCTGTGAACATGTTCAAGATCGTCCCCGCCATTACATCAGATTTGATAGACCACAAATCCTCGCAAAAGAACACCGATTGCTACCAAGGATGATACGCGAACCTATTGAAATTAAAAAACATCCTAATTTCAATAGAGAAGATGGATGGGTGCTGCCATCTTCTTGGGATCCTATAATTAACTAAATTAAATCCAAACCGAAGCATACCTGCAAGACTTCAAGATACTGTAAGTTCATTCTGCATAAATCGAACCAAAAATTAGTAAGTAGCCGCTCCCCGTGACCAGTAAAGTTGCAGTAAACAAATTAAATGCGATGAAATCCGTAAAAATAGTTTTATTCAAATTTAAAAAATTAAAAGCCTCATAATTTTGTTACCTACTAAGTAAATACGTCAGTCAATATCTTGTAAATAAATTATTTTACGCTGATAAGGTTATTGATTCTGCCGCACTAAAATTTGATATAGGGATATTGTTCAATTTTGGTATGGCTATGTTTATACTTACTTATATATATTTTTCTTTACATAGTATTTTTTATGTTGTACGTATAATCTTTGTCTATTTCTTCAGACAATTTAATCAGGTTTTTTGATGATTAATAGACTCTCGAAGATCATTTAATATAATTTAACAATTAAGAATTCCTTACAAATAATAAAAACTCTCTTTATTATGAATGTTACTTCATTAAAGTACTCAAAGTAATTCTTTGAAGAAACTGATTCAAACCTTCAAATTAAATTTTATTTGAATAATAAATGTATAAAACCAATACTATAATATCTAGTGAACAGTTAATGATTACAAGAACTTTCAAATTGTATTTATTTATCACTTATAATGTGGCAACACTTCTTTTACGGTTTATATACAAATTAACTTCTTTGTATTATTTTATTTTATTAAAAGAAATAAACTGCATTCAACTCCTTACTGAAATAAACATAATGAAGTTAACATTGTAAATTAAGCTGATAGCCTTAATCAGAATGAAAAGTTAGAAACTAAAGTTGTAAATTTTTATCGAATGTTAGACTGATCTTTAAAATTATACGATTATTAAGATATTAATAAGTTTCATAGATTATCTTTTATTGATCGTAGTGGTTATTGTTTTATATAAAATGATCTTGCTCTGTCCACTTTTGTCGATTAATCTGTAGGTAAAATATTATACAGGGGCTAAACATTTCTAATCTTATTTTAAAAATAACCATTTTGCGTATCATACAAAGTTTTTTTAGTCTGTACTCAATTAACTTATCTTTATGTTCCTTAAGAAAATGAACAGATAATTACCTCATTTTTAATTTAAAAGTTTTGAAACATTAAAAGTTTATCAACAAAAACATTTACATATTTCTACTTGCACATGCTTTACACAAAGGCAACGCAGTGATAATAAGGCCTACCGCGTTTATACAATTATTAAATCGATCAAACTATTTAAGCCGAGTTGTGTGCTTATGAGGTTTTATGACTATTAAAATGTTTGGTCAATGGTCGTGCGCATTACAGTCGATTCAATAATTATTTTACTACTTTTTCTGTCGAACGGTGGATTTTACAGCAATCAATTAAACTTAATAATTATAATTTGCATGATAAATAAGAAAGTACCAGTTTGCACTTTGCTACATATCGTGCTTAATAAACGAAATAGGAAAAGAAAATATTTCCGGTGTTATATGATATTTCCGGAAATTATAACGGTGCTAGTTCAAAATAGTCGCCGTTGTTTAGTAGAGAATATGTGCCTCCCATTACATGGTAATATACAATGAATGAGCTTTTGGTCGAAGTTGTTCGATTAATTAATCAAAAAGCAGTCGATGTAGGTTTCTACCGACTTCAAACAGGAGGGGGTACTCAATTCCACTATATGTTTTTTTTGTGCGTTACCTCATAACTTTTTTCTGGGTAACCCGATTTCAATTATTCTTTTTTCATTTGAAAGCTGGTGCTTCACATGTGGTCCCATATAAATTTGATCAAGGTTTGACCAATAGTTTTTGAGTTATTGTTAATAATTTATATTGAAGTCGGTACAAAATTTTTATTTTAAATTATTCGATATTTTGTCGAGCAACTACTATCTAATTGATAATATACGGACCTTCATACATTCCCATAAAATGTACACATACAACTTAACAGTTGTTCTATTAAATATTATATATGTATGCGCCTAGGTTGACACTCAATGAACACATCGCGACATTGCTAAATAAGCCCTGACTGCGCTAGCACATCTTATTAGTTTGTGGCCCTAACTTTTAATCATATCCAGTAGATACTTACTGAAATAAATGAATTGCTAATAGCAAAATTAGTAATTTGAATATTAATTTTATGAAATATATGAGTGTTTTCTTTTATTAAAGTATCAAACTAAATTAATCATTTGTCGTGCTATCGTAGTTAAATACAAAACGATCACTAATATTTCCTGTAAGTGTTAAAATTCAATGTATATCATTTTACTTTTATTGATCACCATTATTTTTAGGTATTATATTATAGGTATTAATTTCAGGCAAAAATGATCTAAGTCTGACAGGTCTGAAAATCTTTTGTTTATTGTATTTTTTTTTTAATTTTGCTATCAGAGATTTTAAGAAATATAATTATTTTATATGCTAGTAACTAGACACATAATGTATGAAGAGTAAACATCTGTAAATAGGGGACAAAATTTTATTTGTAAATTAAATCCGTATATTTAATGGCAATGTGTCGATGTTATACACTTATTATAATAATAAATAAATAAATAATAGATGAAACTTTTGATTTGAAAGCCGTGTTTAAAAATGTCAAAAAAAAACAACTTAATACGTCTTTTATCTACGGAGTAGTTTCATTGTATATGCATTTGTTATAACTTTAACAGAAACAGAAGTATTTTGCATCACTAGTGAAGTTTTACTACGTGGTAGAGCCATGTTGCAGCTATACTATGGTTGTAGCACGAATGGGTCGGCTCGACCGGGGAAGGACCACGTTCTCACAGAAAACCAGCGTAAAATAACAGCTTAACGCTGCTGTGTTTCGTATGTTGAGTGTAGAGAACCGGAGACCCTTTTTACTGGCAAAGAGGCATTCCATCTTAGTCCTCACGGGTGACAACGCATCTGCATCTTGAGTCTTTATTGAGGATAGATGTAGATGTCTATGGGTCACAGTAACCACTTACCATCAGGTGGACTGTGTGCTCGTTTATCACCCGATACTATAAAAAAAAAGTGGCCGATTTAATAACTGGCCATACCTCTCTATGTAAT